AAAATTTCTTGTACAATTTTAGGAAATTTTTTTTTAGTAAAGCAGCAATTTTAATAAACATAAGCCCAGTCCCCATGAGATTAGTTCATTTTTGGTGAGCAAGAATAAAATAGGTGAAATGCTAAATCAAAAACGCATATCGAAAAGTCCATATTTTCAATTATCCATTATTTGTGAAATTAAAATTGGCTATAGAAAGTAGGTAAAAATAATGACATTTCGATAGCATTTCCGATTTTTGTTTTATTGTTTTCTCAATGTTAATTAACATGAAATACTGTCAAAAGATATAATCAATAAAAATCATTCATCTTCGTCTTTTAATTTATTGTCTACTTGGAAAATATCTTTAGATTTAATACCATTGCAAATATTTGGTATGGCGAATCGCCAGTACGAAACCAAAAAGCAACGAGGTATCAAAATGTTGATGACAGGTCTAGTCTGGAAAAAAGAATCAATAACACTGGAATAGGGTGCAAAATATACTGGGCCTTGACACTGACGTTAGTTAAATGTAAATTACGCATTTGGTCGTACATTGGTATCAAAGTTGGTCAGCGATGCCGACTCTCGAAACATTATCGGGGGTCCCCATAAAATCTCAGGATATAAAAAATTAATAGTCTATTATACATATATTTTATTACACAACCATAAAATTTGGTAATAAACTGGCAAAGTGTATATCAAATATAAAAGCAATCCTATTTGCAAAGTGGTGCAACTTATCCACTGTGACGTCATACAAAAGTTTTCTGACGCAAATGGAGAGTCATGCGGAACATCAATTTTCTTCGGGTTGGATGAACGACTTAATTATTTAAAATAGTTATATTTACACATAAGTTCAAACAAAAGACCTAAATTCAATATGCAGAATTCGCAAACCAAGTAAATTCCAATGTGAAAAAGTGTTCCTATTGTACACGTGGTACAATATTTGACCAATGCACGTCTATTCGCGCCATTAATTCGCTTATACAATCCAATCCGGTGTACTTGCAATCGATGTTTGAATAAGATAATGCGTTGGTATACAGTAGCATTGTCGTAAGCACTTTAAATTGTGACGCCATAGAAAGACATTAAACAAATTTAACTATCGATGTATATTGCATAGTTGCATATTTTGAAACGGTACAATTTAAAAAGACCCAAGTTACACACACAGACCAATTTATATTGATTTAACTATAGCATTTAAAACATGGATAGACTGCCACCAAAAGTTCGAAAAGTCACCGTGTCTATTACAGATTCATAAACCAGTTTGAATTAAATTAAAATCTTAATTTAAAATCCCTCTATTCGATTATAAAAGAAAAAACTGTCATTTAATTTACTTTTATATATTTCATTGGATTTGTTTTGTAGGTTTCTGTGCCAATTTACCGATGACATAAAATAAAAACGAAAGTCGCTAAACATTACCTACGTAGCGTGTGTATAACATCATAATTAAATTACTAGATCAAGCTAAGTCAGGGCGTTATTCCAGCGCTAGGATTTCCCCTATTCCGTACATTTAGTTCTATAATTAAACGTGGTATTTAGAGTTATAACTTATGACGCACATAAAATCACAATCTCGTATAAAATCTGCACACACTGGCCACGAAAACAAGTTAAATGTGAAAGACATGAACCATAAACGTATGTTGTGTGGCTAAGTTATAATTTGATAATGAATGAAAATATAATTATGCACGGAATACGGAATTAAACAACACTAGTTTCAATTCTGATCTGTTAAAGAAAACCCGAATGTGGAAGTTTGCTTTCGAATAACATCTGATTTCATTTACAACGTAATTCATTATTATTCTGCATCAGTCAGATAATTTTAGGCGAACCTTTCGTCCTTATTTTAGACAAGGTTATGAAAAAGCAGTAATTTCAGGTTGTAAGACTTTTGCATTGCGTTGCAAGAATATTACACACAGGTAAAGAAGGGTGGAAATAAATTGGGGTACGAACTAACAGCTTCAACACGATTGCAATTATACACAATTAAATCCGATATATAAATTCGAACAAAAATGTTTATTGTTATCACTCCAGGACGAGGTTGGGCAATTTTTTTTTCTAGCAAGAAAAATTTAATTTGGAAACTACTCTAAATTAAAGATGTTTTAAGGGCATATATGATGGCATAGTTATAGTTGCATATTTTATATAAAGTTCTAAAATAAATATAAATTTTGTAAGTAGTAGTATGAAATTTTCACCAACAGTAGGAGACCGCAAATGGCTTTGGCGGGCACAGTTTATTCACTCATGCACCAGGGAATGGATATTGCTTATATGACCGTTGAATTCAGAAATTTACTTGTCATTTACAACAGTAATAAGTATCCCACCCAGTGTAGGCTCAATTGAAATTTGTATATCCCTATCTGCGATAGGGGGGTCATTCCATTTTTTTAATTGGTCGAAAGCTACAGAGGTTCATATTTGTATTGCTATAGTGTTTGAAACAAAAGGTATTCTGTGTGAAAATATATTTAATATTCGTCAATATTAAGACTACTGGGAGTGCTGTTGTATTGAGCAATTACTGAGAAACTACGCCACTGTGGCGTATGGAAATGACATTAATATGAAGCGGTAGGAGAAATTTTCAACAAACAATGGTTAATTAGACATGGGAGTCATTATTTCCAAAAGTCGCGGTTCGCTATATTATAGATGAGCTTACAAAAACGCAGTTTTTTCTTCGACAACAACATTAAAATCGAAAAAAGAAAACAATAATTGGACCTAAATATTTGTGAGAAAAATCTCAATACGGCTAAAAGCAGCATTTATGAAGTAATTTCATCCAATTTTCCAGCAATAATCTGTTGCTATTTGGCCAATCAGTGAAAAACAGTGAGAAGCAATTGGTAAATATGGCCAGGCATGATTGGAAAACTAGGGGCATCTTCTCACCTAGCAATTATTCTATGTTATTGGCGATAGAACAAAACATTTCCAGTGAAATTACATACTAGAACCAGACCATCGAAGATTAACATATTTTCAAATGTAAGGCTGTAATTGTTTAACCGTTTAAGATTATAAAGCAAATTTAATTGTTTTGTTTTGACGAGGTTTGTTTTGCCATCGGAGAAACGGATACACCATGAGATGAGGTATATATGATAATTTCTTATATAACTATTTCTTATACTAGTTTGCCCTGAGCTTTCAACTAAAATTGATAATAGAAAAGTTTGCAAGCGACAACTGAAGAATAAAGTGCTATGTATCTGTTAAATCGACCACATATTTGTCAGTAGATATCGGTTAATGCAGTGTTATTATCGGAATCACGCCCAAAAATACAAACTTCCATCAACAGACGTAAGACGTGAAATATCCCTATCAACTGATATCGTATTCTTGACGAATATTCAACAAAGGGATGAATTAGAAGAACGCTGATTTCAAACCAACTCCGAAACTAATCCCCAACTCTAATTTATTACAAGCGATGTCAAAATCCAACCCTCAAAAGGTTACAAATTACGTGAATTCGGAACTGCCCGCATGTAAAACCAAATATACATTTCCTGATAAATCGAAACAAGGTCCTTCGCGATCAATTTCCCATTCTAAACAACTGCGCTACTTTTCGCGCATGGGTGACCCTAAAACGGTACCATTTGCGTCATACGATGTTTATTAGTGTAGAGGTCAAAACTATTCCAGGGGTTGTCAGTACATTGTTCACACGCGACAAACTAAATAGAAATAATAAATCAATGCGTGACCGAGATTCAATATACCAGTCCGAAATAACTTTATATTTATATACCTATATGCTACTTTAGTTGACTACGATAAACGCAAGTTGAAAAGTTTCTTCGCGGTTAAGGATGGCGCTGTCTGATAGCCTTTATAGGGTCAACCTTGCTCTTTACACATTTTTATCATTTAAGATGTACTTGACAATCAAACGGTACTTTCTTTAAACCCTTTTCTCAAATGTATGAAAGAAACTGTTACATTTTATAACAAGTCACGAGACCGATGACGCGCCACAAACGCAAAAGAACATTAAAAAGGTATTTGCAAACACAGAAGAAAATACAGGTTCCGTTTTGGACCGCTAGAGTTCCGCGTCTCTATTCGCGTTTCGATCATATTTTCGATGTAACCGCAGAAATGACTCAAGAATATGTTTCATCGAACATGGTTGTTATATGAATCCTTCTTTTATGTGTGATGAATATGTGGTCATTATCGTTTGAATACAAGCAGTAAGTGTTGTCTACATAAAGAAAAGGCCCATAAAACATTGTCTTCGATTTCATCGAGCATACACCGATGACAGGTGGGAGGAGATGACAAACAGAAGAAGTCAATCTTACGACGTACTTTGTAACCATAAAATAACCAAACGAATGAAGTTCTGTATTATAATGTATACTGGCTGTGACTGTGTACAATAAGTACAATTGGCACACATTACATCGTTATCGATGTATTCGTAATGCAAAGACCAAAATGAAAACGATCGCCTATATGCCGTCACTAAATTCTGATATTGTGATGTAATAATGAAGAAAATTCCTGAGATGACATATGATATATTATATGCGTGCAGTATGAATGCAAATTTCGTTGGTTCGATTTTGTGTGGCGGCTTTGAGTCGCACGAACAATGATGCTTTGTGAAATACAATTAGCCAGAATAGGCTCATTTTTGTTTTATGGAACGTGATAATACCAACTCTACGGACGTTTTCATCAAATCGCATAGGATATAAAGCTAGAGAATTTTCAAAAAAATCATTCTGCTGCAGCACCGTGCATATAGAACGAGTAAGCCTTGCTCGACACGTAAGAACATCATAAGATTTCCTTGTCATTCCCATACATTTGAAAATCATATTTTTAACTTTACACTATCTGAGCAGTGCACCTTATGCATATATACGATTTTGTCGATGATAAACTGATTATTTTAAATCAGCGCGAAGCCTAATTCCACAAAACATAGAAAAACTCACCCAAGTATGTAGCTGATATAAATTCAGAGACTTGATTTCCTGATTTGCTACTTTCGGAAAGATGATTCAACTCGCGGTTCAGCATTCTCTTGAACTGTAAAAGGAAATGATATAAGAGTCATATACTATAGTCGGTTCATCAGAGTCTTAGACACTGATATTGTTCTAAGGCAAAATGCATAAAAGCAATGGCGATGAAACATGACTGTGAAATTTGATGAAAAAAACACATAAATCTTGATGATATCGATTCGTCCACGTTCAATAATTTCACCCAGTCGCGCGCAGACTCGAACAAAAAATCGTTTCGTTCGCGACCAATATTTTAATTCTACCGGAGAAAAGAGCGTTTCGTTCGCGTTCAAGATCGTAAAAATGAAAGTCAAGTTCAATATTCAGCTGAATTACTATAAAACAAATATAAGTCGTTTCGTGCATTCATTAACTTCGCCTGTGCTTGTTTTCACATCGAATTTCAATTTTATGGGCTCATAGTCCGTATTTGAGAAACCCGGGTAGTAAAATGAAATAGTCTTGGACCGTGAAGACAAACACACCATTTTAATGTGTTTGTATAACCGTATGTGTAACATACCCTAGGTCAGTGTTCCAAATCTGACTCGCATGTTTTTTCATCAAAAACCTAAATGCTATTGATTCTATTTTGAAGTAAATTTTATTGTTAATTATATAATTATTAGTAATTATATTTGTGGGGAGTATTACAGCGTAAAAACTAGGAGGCATATATTTTGCTCAAATAGAGAAACGCCTCGATCTGAAAAAATCGCTGATCGCAAACAAATAATAATGTTGAAACAAAAAATAAGTAAATAAATATTATGCAAAAATTATTGTTTTTTGGATTAGTAATTTAATTTTGCGGCCAGAGAAGTACAACATGTAGTTTGGTATTCACGCATATCATTGGGTTGCGAGATTATACGAAATTCATTATGTACATAATCTAGGTCGCTTGAAGAAAAGGCTAGAAGACACTGCTCCAGGAAACAAAATAAAAACGAAATACATAACGTATTTGTTCTGTGAGTGGGCAGACCACAGATGTCCGACAATGTTCAAACGTCATTTTGCCAGTTATATAAGATTGATGAAATCGATATAAAACACTATTTACACAGCTAATAGCTAAATAACCAACAACAATTAGTACATACAGCTCTGTGAAACAACACGCGATCGTAAACGTAAACGAAAGAATCTACATCAGAAATTTCTCAATCACATTTTCTCAAATTTCACATGGAAGTCTGAGGTGTGTATTTCTTAATCCTTTATGAATTGGATGGCTCGAAACTGCCAGCATAATGGTATTTTCGAAAAATAAAAAAGGTTTCGGGTAATTTTTGATGCAAATGAATCGAAATTGAATTCTTGAATGTAAATGAATCGATTCAAGGGGGACTACAGAAATGAAAATAACTACGAAAGGTATATATGATGCACTGCATTATGGCCGATGGACTTACGGCAGTTCAGGTTGATACGATTAGGAAAATAGCTGTTGAGTGGTGAATTTCACATTTTAGAATTACCGATCCTTTATAAATACTGATATTCATGTTTGCCTATTTGGGTTGACTTTACCTTGTTCGACGCCATATCACTGACAGAACGATGTGTTTGCACTGTTTCTAGTTGATCGAGACACCAATCTAATTCTTCTAAAGTTTCCAATGATTGTTTTTTGAATTCTTCGGTACCTGATAAAATGAAGGCAAATTTTTAAGATAAATTTGAAGTTAAAAAAAAAAGGGATAACCGTGTGTATAATAAACATGTGATGTTCATTCTTTTTGGTGGGGGGAACCCCAATGAAACATTCCAGAAGCTTGAGGAAGTGGGAATAGAAAAATCGAGGAACTATCTTATTCGCAAGGCTGTGGAGTGGTAGAAAATTTACAATCGACTACAACTTTGGATTGAAAAATATTTTGGCTCAAACTCAAAATCAATTCCAGCTCCAAAACTCCACAAAAATCAAATTGTGACAACGTAAAAGTTTTGCCGTATGCAAGCCTTCTTTGATGAACTGCTAAGATCACTAAGTTAAGTTAATGCATTCTCAGTTTTAGTAGAAGGTTTTGACTTGTCACCATTGAAAGTTTGCAACTCTGATTTAGAGTTCGAAATTATAATATTTGACATGGGTTCCGACTACAGTGAAAACATGCTCAACTTCGACCCCCATACCCCTGCTCATTCGACCCGTACCAATCCGACGATAATATATATGTATAGTCTCACACACAGCTAACTGTCATCCATGGATCAAACATGATTTACACATCGAAAGTATAAGCCTCTGGTTCATAAAAATATGTATGGTAAAAATATGTAACCACAATATGGTTTCAATAGTTATGAAGTAAAATGTCATACCGTATACAAAGGCTGGAGTGGGTGTTTGCTGCCCACTAGCGGTGAAAGTAGGACTGCTGACGCGAGGTGTTTGTCCTACCGGAGATCGTCTGAAAAGAAAAAATACATTATTTAGTGATTTGGTATCCAAGTTTAACAAAATGAAGTTTTTCATGGGTATATCTTTTTTTTCAAATATTACATATCAATCATATGTCTAATTATATGACGATTACTTCTAATCGTTAAAATAGCGGATGAATTTCAATGGATTCCGTAGATTTCAAACTAACATTCATAAGCACCGAGATAATTAGCGCTTCAAGTTGTATAGCCATACAAATATAGCTAATTTTAAATCATTTTAAAATCCTTTTCTGTGAGTATGCAAGGATATAGATATAAAAAGTATGGTTTGATTGAGTTATAATAAATTGATAAAACGAGATTTCACAGAAAATTGAAAAATTACACATTGATCTGACAATAAATTCTATTACACTTGATCATGATTTGAATGCAAACCTCTTGTTTCCATTTCAAAATTCCTTATTTTTAATAATTTAATCACTGGTTTGTGCAAATGCTGAAATCACATCGCTTACCTTGAGTTTGTAGGATTTGCGGAAGTAAGCATCATGAAATCATTTCGAATTCGGCGTAGACTGGCAAGAACCTGAAGAAAAGATAAAATCAAATGTTTGATGGGATTATATGTGTGGCGTCGGACTTGTTTTTACTAGGGTCGGGGAGTAGAATGTTCATACTGTCGGAGTCGGAATTTCATACTTCCAATGATGATATTGAAAGACACATATTGTTTAAGAAACTAAAAAGGCATCCATTTTACTAAGCATTCTTATCAACCTATTTAAAAAAGGCTTGCACAGCCCCATGTTTTTGTCATCAAAATTTGATTTGGGTAGGTTCGTAATTGATGTTGGATATTGAACTTTTTTCTACCAGGATTCGACAATTTTGAGTCGACATTGTGAATTTTTCCTGATTCCAAAGCCCTGTCATGGGATGATCAATGTATTATATGATGCCGGCACGAATTACAACAAACCAATAGTGCCACCTAGTGGACCGTCTAATTCTAATATGAGCTAAAAAGCATGTTACGAATTCCCTCAAACAAGGATTCGGTATACCAGGCAAACCGGGGAGCATTTTATTTATTATATTTGCGTTAAGAGAAGCGAATCGATGCTTGTTTCCATCACTGAGGAATTTCGTCCCGGGAACTCATTACAAAGCGATACTTTGTATTCAAACAGTGGAAGATAAAAAATAAAAATGCTGTGGTTGAAAAGCACGACATACCTGTGCAAATGGAGTGACGATGAGGTCTTCCCCGCCATGTCTGAAAATGAAAAAATTGATTAATTAAAGAACGTGTGCAGCGCAACGTAACATCCACACATTTTCCGCACAAACTAACCGAATATATATTAGTATCACTCTGAAAATTTTTCTAATCGGAAGTATAGTATAAAAATCCAAGCAACAATACCAACCAGACGTTTTTTTAATACTCGCATAGAAAAGCTGAAAAAATATGTCAAATTTAAAATTTACAAATTATGACTTTCTTATTATTAATAAGAAAATAGTGGGTATAGGCGATCTGCATACATACATTAGCATCGTATTAAATTCAATGATACAATAACAACATAAAAAACAAAAATATAATAAAACAACAAGTATTGAATGCAAATTTTTGCGACATATTGAAGGAAGTATAGATACGGTTGGATGTGAGGAAGAGGCAACTATGAAAATACATTTAAAATATGTAGCTATCGAGTTCGAAAGTATTTGAATAATCCGGCTACTTTAGCCAATGAGTATGATTACTTTGATTATCCATACGGCTTACTAAATATTTATACAATATAACCGCGATATTACTAATTACAAAGCAGAACTTAAACAGTCACAAAGTCTTAATTTATCGATCACATATGATTAGTTAGCCCCTAAAGGTGTATTAAATGACGAAAAATAATTGAATAAACACTGAAGATATATTGAGAACTGACGCCGTAACAAAATTGAAATTGTAACGGGACTTTATGAACACCCTGTATCTTTCATACAGCCGTGTTATTAAAAAAAAAATAGCCTGCGCTTTCCAATACCGGCGCAAAGTTGTTGCTATTGTTCTTGGTTCACATTGAGCTATAATGTAACATAGGTTTCCAGTTTGAGCCAATGTGGGTAACATTCGCATGTTAGGTTCATTTTGCTGAACGCGAAGCAAGTTGTTAGTTCGCTTTTCAAGGTTTGTGTCGGTTTCATTTAGTTTGGAACACCATATATATATATAAGGGATGATATCACGAATGGAACGAAAATACAGGGTGAGCCACAAAACCGAGCGCTCCCGTAGTATGTGCACCAAGATGGCGCACAGCCCGAACCCCAACCTGTTACTCATACTAGGTTCAGGTTGTGCGCCATCTTGGTGCACATACTACGGGAGCACCCAAAGCAGAACCCATATATTTCTTAATTATTTCTACGAAAAGAAGGGAAATTTATTTCACCCTTGAAATACTGTTATGTTCTCTCTAAAACATGTTTTAAATGATTAGGATTCTGTTTATTTAGTCATTTCATATGAACAAATCTATTTTTATTGGATAAAACGCGCCTGATTTATAACATTACACGTCGAGTGCACGATGATGGAAAATATCATTTATTTTTGAACAGAAGGCGAACCGATGGTAACCTCAAACTATAAACACACCCGTTTCAAATACTTCATCTGATCATATTTAGGAAAGTTAAATGGTGTCAATTAAATTCTAAAATACTAATATTGTAACGTATAAAACTGGTTAAATAGAAAACTAACTCGAATTCGATTTATCGCAGTTATTCACACAAAATTTCCACAAAGTTTACTTACGGTTCCAAGTCGGTAATCTTTCGTTTGCGTATGGTTTTATCGGCCATGGATGAAAGAGAGGATACACAATTTCTAATGATCTCTAATAGATTCAACGTTGTCAGCATATCAAGCAAATACAGTATACCAATATCACGGAAGTTAAATTTGCAATATAGTTCATGCAAAAATGACCGACTTAATTTTTTCCGGGTTTTGCATAAATTCTTTTTTTCACTTTGGTGATTCAACAATTACAAAAAATTAATACATACATCAAACAGGTTGCGTAGTGTGGCATTTATTGTTTTGTTATTTTGTTCGGTACGCTACAGATTAAATCGGTTTTCCGGAAATTAGCAATACAATCAGCTTACCCCAAAACAAAAACAGTCAACCTACACTGCAGAAAAAACGTATGTTCGTGGCAATATGACGATTAATTTTGCAGTTTATAACTCAAAGTAATGACTACGCATGAATGTACTACTCGTCATCAAATAATTGTGAAATCACATTATATTCTACATGTTTTTTTCTAAGTATCTGGCGAATAAGGAAATAGATGCTGAACGCTCCGCTCCGTCCACTGTTTACACATTATTTCATTTTAACTAGAGATAAATAAAATGTAATTTGAAATTTTGAATATTCTGAGCTAAAGTTTTAACTGCCTAGAATCAAAATTTGACTAAATTCCGAACTAAATTTGAGTAAATGCGAAGACAAATTTCCTATATTTCAAAAGCTTTCTTTTTTTTAAGCAGCACTCTACTATCTCAATCGACCTAATAGAGTTTGGTAAAGGATTCCAATGCAAGTGAAATGCTATCATATTTATTATATTAATTTGGTATGTCGATTCACCTAGTCATGTGTTATGGTTGAAAATTTATAATAGCTTTTGTGCTTCGTGATAGAATCGTGACAGATTATGTTAAATTTAAAAGCACACTGGTATTCGTACATATTTTAAAGCAATATCTACAGCGGCCACAGTAGTGCCATTTGCATAGAATGTACAAAGTGACCCGAAAAATAGACCCATGGTATTTGGACATATGATAGAGAGAACATAACTTTTGTGCAAAACGTCCTAGATTACTGAAACGTTTAGGTACAATCATAAACAACATTAAAGGGTTTTAGTTTTTTAGGTCATACAAGAGTGAGCTTAAAGTAAGTTCAATAACATATCTAACATACATAATATGCAGTTAAAGTTCGTACGACCTCTGGTACGTTTACAGTCATCGTAAAAACCAAAACATATGGTAAATAAGGAGCGGTCACGAATCCTTACTCGAAATTGTATCATTTCTGGGAAATCGAGAAGATATATACTTGTAAATAAACATAAATCTAATGGTTGTGCAAATACGCTTTACCGCAAGTGAAAAAATAAACAACCGATTGAAAATGACGATTCTATGATGCGATTTAGGGAACGCAGGAAAACAGTTGAGATGTAGATTGTAGAGAAGCCAACATTGTCAAAAACCTGAGAAGAGTGCGAATTCATCAAAAAAAATACTTCAAAGTACACTTACGTATCGCTGACAATAGAAGAAGCCCTAGATGCCACTTTAGGCGACTGTTGATCGAATTCAGCATCTGATCTATAGAGAAATGATTCCCGTCGTTGACTATGAGCTTGAGTAGCTGGATGAAGAATGAGGCCTGATCCTGGTGAGGACTGAGAGTCCATTGGTACTCTGCCGGGTGCAATTCCATTTTCGACGTCAAAGCTGTGAAAAGATAGAGACTAATAAATAGGGGTCAAAGGTTGGGTGGAACAAGGAAATTTATTGATTTATGAAATCGGTAGGCGTACATGCATAAATTTATTCGTATAATCAGATATCCCTTCCAACCTCGTTCTACCAGAATTATTGAGTACACAAATTTGATACACATGATTCTAATAAAGAGATAAAACATTCTTAAAAAACACAATATTCTCGAACACAATCAAGAGGCAAATGAACTGAGAGTCGAATGAAAATTGGGAAAATCAATCCGTATTACGGCGCGAAATTTCGTGGAAACATGGCAACATCGTCGCCATGTTTAATGGTTTTAGCACACCAGTATATAAATTGTCCTCTCTACAGCATATAGCACAAGATTGACAATTACGCCAATGCACAGGGAAGCGAAATTATACGTCAACATCCGTTGTACATTAGTTTTCGGTTTGCATATAAAGGATTTCATAATACGGGTTTAGATCAAAGCAGTATGATGCGCACGGAACAAAAAAAAAATACGACCCATACACAATTGACCACGGTACACAATGGTAGAAAAACATTTTGTCGTAAACATTTTCAAAACAGAAAGCGTGGTTATACACAAACAGATTTATCTGTTAGTGCTATCGCTTGCTTGTTATCATCCGACGATTTAGACCTACTTTTGGACAAACAGATGATTCCACAAAACGGGCTAGATGCTTATAAAGAAAATGCTGCAATAAAAACTCTTATATATAATATTTTTATTAAGTTATACACTCCAGTTCTGCGAATGTGACGACAGTATTTCGAAACGAATTTTTTTTTTAAATAAAATTAAAAAAGTTTCATTTTCTTGAACAATGATTGAGCGTAAAAACAACAACTCGAGCGCTACACGCAATTATTTCGTCATCAATTTTCAGTTTGGGATTAACTCAAACCGCCAAGAATGCCCCCCTTGGTCGCATCGTCGACAAGTTGCAACACATTCGTCGGGCTATGACGTCAATGCAACGTATTAGCTTTGAAGGTTCAAGGTTTGGGAATATATGAGAGACAGCGTATACTGGCTCAAATCTGCATAACGCTGTAGGAATTTCGAATCCGTCACGGTACGAAACCCAGGAGACCATTACGATGGCGAAACAAAAGTGACTTTTCTCGCACCCTGACAGTGCACATTTCGACTTTACCATACATGGTACAACGATAAATCTCACAAATATTGTCCAGCCCATGGTTGAAAATTTTATCGAAAGCGGAAGATCCTAATTTTAAATTTAAAAAGTATTTGAAATGAATTACACAGTTTGATATGAAGAGTGAAATTTACCAAATTTTGTATACTATATTTAGAAATATTAGCAGGCTAAAATGCCTAGATCGTGTATGGGATCTATTCGACAATTCAAAATCATCGCCCTATTATTAGAATCTTTTAAATCTTACAAATTTTCCACCATTTATAAAGAAGAAACAGCACAAAAACAAGAGATAGAGATCAGGATATCTTGGTCTCAAAAAACGTTGAAAATCATCCAACACTCAAAATATTCTACAGTTCGATTTCGCTAAGTCATTTACAGCCAAATAGACAATAATTTAACAGCATCTTTAACAGCAAGCCAATGATATTAGCAATTTTAATTTTCATGTAAATGTACGCCAATCAAAACAATATAAAACATTATAACATAGTATTTTAAATTTTTGTCACGTCGACCTTGTCGTAATGCTTATTGTCTACTGAGTAAAATTTACAAAAAAAAAAAAAATTCACCTAATATGCGGATTCCCATATCGTGGCCTGGTTCCTTTGTTTCGAATAGATTTATAAGCCGACTCAAAATCAAAAAAGCGTTTTGTTTGTCTCGACATCATGAAATATCACATTCTTTTTCAACACAATAAGAACTTCAAACTGACTAAAGCGAACGTAGCAAGTTAGCAACCGAAGTCCAGTAAGCTTAAAGTACCAGCTTAAAGTGAGCAGCGCGGAAAATAATGCCGCAGAATCAGTTGCCAACTACCATGAACCGGGAAATGACGACATCATACAACAGACAACGTGGGATGGAAATTAGACCAGCGCTGTAATTTTGGGTTTTTGGTAAATAGTGTAGTTCCGCATATGTATAAAGCTAGTCAGTGTATAACCAGCGAACCAATCCATCTAACCTATATCATCAGTCATACGCTTACATAACGGAAGTTATCTGCAACACTAATAAATAGATAAGTTTATTCAACTGAAATTTTAATGCATGCATAGAATCGAAATATAACTATATATCGCATCTGGTCGAGCGTGGTTGACACAGTCATTGTAACGGTCATAGACATAATTAGGTATATTGGCATAATATTATATTAGTTTAGGGGAACAAATTGACGCATTTTATGTTGTGTTAATAAGTAACTGTAACTAGAGTTTACCAGGTAAGGTACAAAGCCGGGCGTTGTTTTTGCTGGACCACAATAAAACAGATACAGTATGCGTACTTCCTTTATTTATTCTATATTTCTTAATTCATTCGCGCAGCTTTCATTTACATACAACCGTCTGTATATTCTTATAGATTTCTAATACTTACCTATAGTTAATACAATATGTTTTACAGCTGAGCCATGACCAATACAAAAGTGGAGGGCAAAAATATTGCAATTCCATCAAATTAATATAAGAAAAGAACGAATGCGACGAGTTCTTTGTTAGAACAGAAAACTCGAGGTAAATAGTTAAACTGAGTATACGCATATACTGATGGCTGCGCATACGAATGAAACAGCAATTACAATTCTACAAGTTTATCATATGTTAACAACTCATATTGTATTTGCCCCTTGCAATACTTCAACAAACAATAACTGAATCGATTCAAAAACCACCACCAACACCACTAAAAAAATAAAAGACTTTACGTGCGTTAAAAAAAAGGTTAAAACAAGAGAATCAAGTAATACTGTATTACAAATACTCCAAGGTTATTACAGGATCTATATGACTCAGTATTTACAATACTCCGAGAAAAGCTGGTGCCTGAAATACTAGATTTTTCAAACCCCCTTAGGTAAAGAAATGTAAAGGCTACTCGTGAGTAAAAATACAGAGGAGGAGAAACAATAAATTGAATTTGAGATTGAAATGGTACTAAATGTTGGTCACTGCTCAGTATGTGTGTTATATGGATACTATGGCACATGAATCTATTTCTACAGTGATTTACTCAAAAGCCACAGTGAAACAGTCTAGTTTGTCCTCACTATAATTCCACTACCGTGATGTAATTTTGTAGGGTGCGTTAACGATGAATGGTATGTGAACGGAATTGGCAGATAAGTCCTGAACAAGTTGGGCAATCAATTTCAACTCAGAATAAAAGGTCATCTTGTTCATTTCCTAATGTTTGCTAATAAACAATCCCGACCATAACGTCAAATTATTGATGGGTATTCAATTAAGTAATTGGAAAAATGACATCACTCCAAACTATAAAAAAACAAATCAACTGATAATTTCGAGTAAATTACGGGCGGATGGCATGTTCAAAGAACCCGTACAAAGTGATTTTGAAACGAAATGCATAAGAACAGGCATGTTACCTATTTCGCTAATAAGAATCCACTTTTTAATTATACAATTTCTAATAACAAGATAACAGGTAACAAATTCCAAATTTGTGATCTATCCACCCGAGAAAGGCAAAACTACGCTTCGGTTATGTCTGTTTTGGGGATGTAAGACTTGCCTATTTTAAACCAGTGATTTTCTAGTTAACTCTACTAATATTTTGAAGAATTTATGGATGGAAATTTAACTAAAACTACAAACTTTCACCTCGATTGAGTTGAAACTAAATTAGAATTAGGTTTCCGCATGCTATTAATAATTTTCAGAGAAAAAGATTACAGAGAAATGTTAGTTTTATTAAATTAAACAGGATTTTCGTGTTTTGATGTTAGGAGACATAACGCAAATTATTTTGTGTAGTCACTTACTGGTCAGTAATATAAGTGACCACCATACCAAATTGTACCTATTAGTTTCGCCACAAAATATGGCGGGTAAAGAGCATCTGGGTCGAAAATTTCTTCTGCACCTCATATAAGCCAATTGTGCAGCAGCGTCAGCTTTCGCATCCTTCTCATTGATCCCCGACATTCGGTGTGGAGCCTCTGGAGGCCTGGTTGCCAAGTAAGGATGCATCTCGAGTCGATGATCTCCGGTAGCGTTCCGGCCTTTGCTTGATTTGTCGTACGCCTTGTCGTCATGAAGAATGCTACTCGCAGATGAATCAGAAGACGATCGTGTCACTTTTGGATTATTTGACTGAATGTACACAGGTGTAGACGGTATCTTCAAGACGAAATTTTCATAGATGAACGCTGGATCTGTGATGAGTTCTCTATGTTCAGTTAAGCTTCGTAGCCTTCTCACAAGTCCTTTACCCCTACCGACTACAGCTGAAGAGGGTTTAGACGGACTAGTTCCAGAACCGAAAGACGAGCTTCGAATTCGAATTTCGTCGTTTGCAAGCGATTTCGACATGACACACTCCGTTTTGTTCAAACTAGTACAAGTTACAAAATCAAAAATAGGATAGGAATATTTCTTCAACGATGCCACATTTTCATACATTGACTGAGAACACGCATTTACAACTGTAATTAATCTAATACACAGAACCTGGATACATATAAACCACCAATATATATTTCAGACTCGAAGAAATATTATGATATGAAATGCTGCTCAATAATGAACAATTCGTGGTTTTCATTAATTTCGTTTATCACTGGTTAGATTAAGATAAGCTAGATTAGACAATAACCTAAGAATTATTCTTGAATAACTATTATTTAGTTTACAGAGATTTACCATAAACGCTGTCAAGTGGAAGAATATATATATAAAAAAAACGAGCGTTAAATGTGGGCTCGCTCGGGCATTCCATCCACAAGCGAAACGAAATTCACAACCAATTAATTCTTTCTAATACATCAAATAA